CTTTCTGGATTTCAAGTTTGGAGTCAAAAGGTTGGCAACAGTAAGCTGAAACCAGTCTTTTTAATTAATTGGAGAATGGGAACCATTAACCACAAGAGGGTCATTGGTATTTTAAGGACTTTTCAAACATATGTCCAGAAAGGGTATTTGCATTTTAATAACTTAGTCAAGACTTGTTCAGATATAAGAAATAGCTCAGGGTTCACCTGACCTCAACTGTATTTTGTTTAACAGGCAAGTGTTCATTTGGAGTGTTAATTCATAACTTTATAATTATTACTCATAAGTTTGTATTGTGTTACTATTAAATCCTATTTACAAAACTATTTATCCCATAAACTTCTTATCAACATGCTCTCCTACTTTCCAGATTTAAGAACATTTAACCCCATATCCCTCAAAATAATGCTAATTAGATTATATAGCTTTGCCATGCTCCTAATGTTTGGCTGTTCACCAAATTGTATCAGCCATATGGTTGCCCATCTCACTGTTCTATGTTCTCCTGAAGTTTGCCACTGTCCTGTTCTCTATTTACCAATTGGCACATTTGTATCAACTACAGACTTCAAACTTGTACACCCTGCACCAGAGTTCACTAACATTTTCCCTCTGTGACCCCATTTCGAGGCTTGCAATCCCTCAATGAAACTGACAGTAAGAGAAGACCCATGAGAGTGGGTCAAACAGGCTGGAGCTCCTCATTGACCATTGCTGCCTCAGAGCTTGTGATCCCAACGTTTCAGCTTGCAACCCCAATTGGGGTCCTAACTCCCCACTTTGGGAACCCCTGTCCTATATCCAAGTTCAGGCCTCTTATGTTTGCCATGAAAAGCAATATTCCTATTACTATGCAAGGGGTCTCCACTACATACTTCTCTTCAGTTAGAAAAGTATCTATTGAAAATGTGTTATCTTAATCTCTTAGTCAGTTATACATCCAAGTTACTGCAGACCCTTTAATGCCACAATGTATTTGTTTAATCAATCTATTTGGAGGTACTTTAGCCAAATGTCTTGGAGAGTGCACTTATGTATTTACTGCTTTACTTTTGTTAAGTTTCTCTGGTACAGTTAGTTAGACTGTTTCCATTGTCAAATGCTGTGCTTTGCATCTTATCAGCAAACACTTCTCCAAGTCAGAATTCACTTCTGCCATGACAATTCTTTCCTGAAGCTTTACGCAGCAATAACGTAACACTTCCCACTCATAGTTATCATGATTATCCTTGTCACCTATGACAGAACAACGGCTGTAGCACTTTAGGGATAGGTGATAAATGCTGGCCCAGCCAGTGATGCCCATGTCTCATGAGTGAATAGAGAAAATTTTACAATATTCCCGTCCTCAAGGACCACTCCCATATCTAAGGAGGATCAAAAGATTGTGGTCAGAGCTTCTGTTATCTCCACCCTAGCTTCCCTTAGTAACCGATAACATGGTCCATCTGGACTAGGTGGCCAGTTAACTTTGTTTGCTGCCAGCTTCTTTAGCATCCCCTTTCTATCTATTTTCATCTTGTCTGCTATCTCTGCCTGCTCCTGCTGTCTTGTGACATTAACTCTATCCTCTTCCGTGTTAAGACCAATGCAAAGTCCCAGTTCCTCGACAAAGATTACCTTTCCTCTTCCTAATTGACCCTGTTTTTCCTTTGGCACTCTTTACTTTCCTATATTTATAAAAGATGTATTTTTTTTGAAAATTGCTTGCTATTCTCTGCTCAAACTCTCTTTGTCCTTTTTCACCTGTGCAACTACTTTCTCATTCCATTTGTTTTTCAACTGTATCCCACACTGATGTCTATCAATCTGTTATTTGTGATTCGATTTATTTGAGCTTATTATTTCCTCTCCTCATCTTACAGCCATTGGGTATCATTTATTGGCCATCCCTAAGATTTTGACCACATTGCTATAGGCGTAGGCCAGACCAGGTAGGGTCAGCAGATTTTCTTCCCTAAGGGATGTTAGTGAACCCCTATAAGAAGTGATAGTGTTACATCGTCACTATTAGGCCAGCTTTTTAATGACTTCAAATTTTACCATCTGCCATGATGGGATTCAAGCCCATGTCTCCAAAATGTTAGGCTTGTGTTCTGGATAACTCGTCCCGTGACATTAACACTACGCCACTAGTGCTCCAATTTTTAAGTAAATCTTTTGCACCTCCAGAATTATCAAAAAGCAAAGACAAAATATATTTGGTACAGGGTACTCTGGTTGTATTTTGTCCACCCAATGGCTAATCCATTAAATGCTGCTGATCTCTAATTGATGATGTGAGTTGGATGGTTGGCAGTGGGGTGGAAGGTGTTAGGTTACAGGAGGATATAGACAGATTGGTTGGATGGGCAGAGCAGTAGCTGGTGGAGTTTAACCCCGATAAATGTGAGGTGATGCAGTTTAGAAGAAGGAACAAGACATGGGAGTACTCAATAAATTATGAGACACTAGGAAGCTCAAAGCAACAGAGGTGTTTATCCACAGATCCCTGGAGGTGGACAGGTTACTAGGATAAGTAAGAAGGCATATGGACACTTGCTTGTCATGCAATACATTATAAGAGCAGGGAGGTGATGTTGGAGCTATACAGGAATTAGCTGGAGTACTGTGTGCAGTTCTGGCCATCACTCTATAGGAGGGATGTGATTGTACTTAAAGGTGTGTGAAAGAGATTCACAAGGATGTTACCTGGGATGGAGTATTTCAGCGATGAAGAGAGGCTGGATAAGCTCAGGTTGTTTCCTTTGGAGCGGAGAAGGTTGAGAGGTGACTGATAGAGGTGTATAAGTTTATAAGGGGCATGGCCAGGGTGGATAGAAAGCATTTGTTCCCCTTAGTTGAAGGGTCAGTAACAAGTGGGCATAATTTTAAAGTGAAAGGGAAGAGGGGAATTGAAGAAAACTTTTTTTTTCACCTGGAAACCTCACAATCTTTAAAAAGTACTTGGATGAGCACTTGAAGTGTCACAACATTCAAGGATATGGGCCTAGTGCAGGAATGTGGGACTAGTGTAGGTAGTAGTATATTTTCTGTCAATTACAGACTCAATGGGCCGAATGGCTTCTTCTGTACTGTATAATTCCATGAATTATCAATTTGTCAATTGTTAAAGAGTTGCTGACACCCAGAATTAAGTAATGTTTGCTACAAAAATTGAACTCAACAGATCTCTTAATTTGTGAGCTTGATCATGGTTGCTATGCCAAAGGTTCATATGCAAAACGTTAGCTTCTCTCTACTCTCCACCGATGCTACATGGTCTTATCGAGCATTTCCAACAGTTTCTGGTGCAAGAAACTTATTTTTACACAACTAGTGGTAGTGTGTGGTCTTCCACAAGGGGTTAATTGTTCACACTGCTGTGTCTACATGTCTGTGAAAATAATCTGAAGATGGCAACTTCATGGTTAACTCTAAAAGGGGAAGCTTAGTCAAATCTGACGATACAGGTAAGTATTGGGATCATTTATACAAATGGGCTGACGGATGTAAGATGTAACTTAATACCAATAAACGCAAAGTGTTGGAGGAAATGATGGGCAACATTAGTACAGAATCAGTACAGAGTGGTTTAGAAAAGCATTTGAAAAGAATACAGACTCCAGGCAACATTGTTGACAACAGCATTAAGTATCAGAGGCTATGCTGAATCTCTACAAGTGATTGACCACGCCACAACTGCGCAATTGCATTGGACTCAGTGCCGGTGGGATGGCTGTGGAGTGGAGGTCTCATAATACAGAGGGTAGCATCAAAGCTGTGGGGGCTTGGGTTCAAATCCCTACTTCAACAACTGGTGGAATTTTAAAACAAAATCAATCAGTATGATCTAGAATTTAACATTAGTTTCAGTAATGGTGACTGTGAATCAATTGTTATAAAAGTCCACCATGTTCACTGAGAATGACAGAATCCCCACAGTGTGGAAGCAGGCCTTTTGGCCCTTTGAGTCCACACCAAATCTCCAAACAGCATCCCTGCCAGAACCAAATCCCTCCTTGTCCCTGTAACACTACATTTCCCATGGCTAATCCACCTATCCCTGCACATCCCTGGCCCACTTCCTCCTGTCCCACTCTGGGTATGATGATCAAAATAGTTGGCCTGAAATGGCACCATGTCAGAGCGTTATCCAGCATGGAAACGGACCTTTCGTCCACTAGTCCATGCGGACCATGTTCACTCAAGGGAAGGAAACCTGGCCTACATGCGACTCCAAACCCACTGCCATGTAGGTGACTCTTAACTGCCCACTGAAATAGCCTGGAAAGCCATTTAGTTCAAGGGATATTGGGAATGGTACTAATACCTCATCACATCCCATAAGTAAATAAATAAGAAAAATCTTCCACAAACTTCAATGGAATTGCCTACAATGGGCAGCCAATCCAATAATGCTTGTGGCCAGACAGTGAAGCAGAGATGTATTTGATAGGGTATGTGTTGAGGGATGTTGAGCTGACTGGTAGACGAAGAGATTATATGGTCAACCTTGTTGAATATGTCACACCAATACTGGGCCTAAACTGTGACAGTAGTGTGATACTGAATTGCTGGCCTTAGCTCACTCCCCCTGGAATTTTCAGCCTGCGCTCCCATTCCCAAGATGCCTGACCAACAGTGAAAACCCATCCTTATATAGGGAATGTAGAGAGAAATAAACTCGATTCAGATGGCAGAAAGAATGCCTTCACATAAGGGATGATCGATGTCAGGAATTATTTACCAGGAAGGTTAGTGCAGATTCAGGGTTTGAATTTGGACTCAGCGGGAATTACAGATTAAGAAACTTAACATTTGCCCATCAACATTCAACAATGAGAAGTGTCATTTCAACACTGGAGATTTTAGTGTCAGCTTAAGATCAGTCTAGAAAAAGTCTCATCACTTTTCTTGCAGATAGTGCAAAGATACAAGCTTTTTAATCACATCTGTGGCTTCAAGCCAAACTGGCACTCCAAGCCTCAGATTAAAGAGTTAAAGAAACATACTCTTACCCAATGATGTAAGCAAGCACTCCTAGCTGGATCAATCGAAAAATTAACCCAATTCTTTTGTTTCTGATGGTTACCATCCGAGGGGTGTCATACTCAAACAAGAAGTCAGAAACATTTGTGAGTAGTCTGTCAGTTTCCATCATTGCAGGGAGAGCCTGGTTCTAACCAAACTGAAAGCTCTGACTCTTCAACGTGGGTGCAGTCACTGGAACATCTGCAAATGGGTGTCTGTTTGATAACTTGTTTAACCCTGATGGGCGGAGCCTGTTGACAATGCTGTTTCTTTAGTAACTATCAGCACTTCCACTTATGGCCTGAGACCATCTGGGAACTACCGATGTACTGTATATGCAAAAAAAAAGGATGAGAAGTAAATCGATTTTTATTAACTCTTTGTTAACTTTTGTGGCATTTCTTCTCCAGAGAAAGCAAGGGATGGGCCCCCAAGCTACTGGTATCGTGGAGAATTCACTTGCTGTTAAAAAGCATGAAAGACAATCTGACGCCTTAAATGCATTTAATCAGAATTGTGTCATTTTGAGCTGCATTTTCGAATGAATTTTCAGCTCCTTGCACAGTCTCTTTAAGGAATGGCAAGTTGAGGTTTCAGAAAACTGACCATTAGTGTCTGATGCAAGAGCTTCCAGAGACTTGAATATTAAACTGTCAACTTTAATGTCAACAAGAGGAAGAATCCCATACTGTAGCCTTAGACACATTCAAGCAACACGGATGTCCATTCAAAAAGGCATGAAGGAAAATATTGTATTGCTTTTAACATGAAGTTTCTGCTTTGAGTTTAAAACTCCCATCCTAGTTTACAAATCACTTCATGGCCAAGTCACTCCCTATCTCTGTAACCTTCTCCTGCCCCACAACCCTTCAGCATTCTTGATTTTAGTCGCTCCATCATTGGCAGCCATATCTTCAGTTGTCTAAACCTCTAAGCTCTGGAATTCCCTCTGTAAACCTCTCCTCCTGTTGACTCCATGATGTTCTTTGCATCTTACGTCTTTGACAAACTCTTCTGCCCAATTTGTTTAATGTGTCCTTGTTTAAACCATTATCAAATTTCGTTCCATAACTGCCCCCTCCAGAGGACCTTGGGACTTTTATTTTACACAAAAGGCTTTAAAAATGCCAGTTGTTGTTGTAGATATCTTCATGCCCAGGCAGAGAAAACATTACTGCTCTCCTATTCATCACCGTCTCCAACTCCGACCTCTGTCTAAAGGTCGTGTTTTCCACTCCAAGACAAGAGGTCGAGTTTGCATGCATTCTCCCTGTGTTTCCTCTGGGTGCTCCCATCGAGTTCACACTGACCCTCTGAAGAACATCCCACCCCACTACCCTTTAACTCCACATTTACCATGGCTAACCCACACAGCCTGCACAACCCTGGACACTCTGGGCAACTTAGCACGGGCATCCACCTAACCTGCACATCTTTTGACTGTGGGAGGAAACTGGAGCACCTGGAGGAAACCCACGCAGACACAGGGAGAATATGCAAACTCCACATAGACAGTCACCTGAGGGTGGAATTGAACCTGGGTCCCTGGTGCTGTGAGGCAGCAGTGCTAACCACTGAGCTGCTGTGCCACCCCAGTGACTTTAGTGAGCTAAATTTACAGCAGCAGACAGTATACATTTATTTAAATACAAATTTCATCACCTGCCTTGGGGTAATTTGAACTGATGTCCCTAGAACATTAGCCTTGGGTAACTGGATTGCTAGTCCAGTGACAGTACCATAGCACCATTGCTCCATCAAGCCCCATCTCAATGTCGACATTATCTCGTCCCATCCTGTATTCTTTTCTCAACCAGGGTAGAGATATTCTGCTGGGCAGTGACAAGTTCCCAAACAAGGGTCTTTGTTGCTTGTTAAATGTTTTATCAACAACCCAACTCTCCCTCAGGTCGCTATCTTACCAAACTCACCGTACAAATTCTCCATCAGGAAATCTCGAACTGGAAACCAGTGCGGGTTCCACACAAATACCAGGCACCAACAAATTCAGGCATGGGCCGCACACACCCCCCATCCACGGATATTGGCAGTTGACATGTGTCAGTCTCTAACAAGCGTCATGGCACATCTCAGGGGAGGCAATGGCCTAGTGGTATTGTCGCTGGACAGTTAATCCAGGGACCCAGATAATGTTCTGGGGATTCGGGTTTGAATCCTACCATGGCAGATGGTGGAGTTTGAATTCAATAAATATCTGGAATTAAGAGTGTAATGATGACCAGGAATCCATTGTCAATTGTCGGAAAAACCCATCTGGTTCATTAATGTCCTTTAGGGAAGGAAACTGCCATCCTCACCTGGTTTGGCCGACATGTGACTCCTGACCCATAGCAATGTGGTTGACTCCGAACTGCCCCCTGGGCAATTAGGGATGGGCAATAAATGCTGCCTGGCCAGTGACGCCTTCGTCCCATGAATGAACAAAGGAAAAGAAAATCTCAGATCCACTTACAGGACGCTCCTACACTTTGATGCTGCACCTCAAGCCACAACAATCCTCACGATCCTCTTCGGGAAATGCACCCAGCTGGTGGACTCCACCAGGCTGCATCTCATGGCTCTTCTCTACTGTCACAACACTCACCCACTCTGAGACTACCTGGATGATCACTTCATCCATACCTTGCCTTTCCATGTACCGCCCTCTCAGCCAGAGGTACCAGGCTCATATTACTACTAACTAGCCTTCCCATTTAGCACAGACACAAAGCCAGGAAACTTGTTATAGATCTGAAGAAGAGTTTCTCCAGCGCTTTCTGTGTTTGTTTCAGATTTCCACCTTCCGCAGTATTGTCATGGCTGTCAGCAGGCCTCAATCAAGTCTTCAGTCAGGGCTCCCAGCACAGTCTAGGCCCCGCCCAGGGCATTCACTAACAGGACCAGGCTGGCAAGGGGAAGGAGGGAGTACCATCTCCGCACCACCCTGTTTTCGTTTGCAGTTTCTTTTGAAAGGGCTGCTCTTCTATTTCTTCAACCCCAAGCTCTGCACCTATGGACAGCCCGAGCAGGAGCAGATGGGCAGGTCAGAGGGAACCCCTGGCCTAGGCCATAGCGGCCATTAATAGGTGCAGGCAACGTGGAGGGGGTCGTTATACCTGACGTCCCTCTTCTGAAGTTTTGTCTGTGTTCCCACATGCATTGAGAGGGAGCATACAGTGTTCGCTGGCATGATCGAGACCAGTGGGCACCGCAGGAGTTGGGCTGCATCATTACCCTCGAGAATTTTGATTTGATCAGTTTCGGTTTTATTTCTATGCGTTTACATTAACCGTTTGATTCTATTACAGTGTCCCACAAGGGGCATTGATTAACCCATTGAAGTTTGCTACTTTAAGCGGAAGAATAATGGACATGGGCGATCTGGCCAGCTGATGTAAAAGCCACCGTAGAAACCCTGAAACAGACCATATCATTCCCCTCTCTGACTGCAGTTTGAGGTGACATCTTGGAATCACATCTTGCCGTCCAGCAAAAGATTACACTGGTTAGGGAGCTTGACGTTAAAACTGTGTTGACAGCTTCTGCACCAAAAGCCTTTTGACTGAAGAGGAACTAAGAATCATAGAGTCCCTACAGTATGGAAGCTGGAAGCTGGCCATTCAGCCCATCAAGTCCACACTGACTCTCCAAACAGCATCCCACCCAGACCCGCCCCCTCTACCCTATCCTTGTAATGCCACATTTCCCATGGCTAATCCACCTAACGTGCACATATTTGGATTATGAGAGGAAGCTGGAACACCCAGAGGAAACACAAACAGACACAGGGAGAATGTTTCAGAGATAGTAAGAACTGCAGATGCTGGAGAATTTGAGATAACAAGGTGTAGAGCTGGATGAACACAGCAGGCCAAGCAGCATCAGAGGAGCAGGAAGGCTGATGTTTCGGGCCAAGACCCTTCTTCAAAAATGGGGGAGGGGAAGGGGATTCGGAAATAAATAGGGAGAGAGGGGGAGGCGGATAGAAGATGGATAAAGGAGAAGATAGGTGGAGAGGAGACAGACAGGTCAAAGAGGCGGGGATGGAGCCAGTAAAGGTGAGTGTAGGTGGGGAGTTAGGGAGGGGATAGGTCAGTCCAGGGAGGACGGACAGGTCAAGGGGGCGGGATGAGGCTGGTAGGTAGGAGATGGGGGTGGGGCTTGAGGTGGGAGGAGGGGATAGCTGGGAGGAAGAACAGGTTAGGGAGGCAGGGACGAGCTGGACTGGTTTTGGGATGCGGTAGGGGGAGGGGAGATTTTGAAGCTTGTGAAATCCACATTGATACCATTGGGCTGCAGGGTTCCCAAGCAAAATATGAGTTGCTGTTCCTGCAACCTTCGGGTGGCATTGTTGTGGCACTGCAGGAGGACCAGGATGGACATGTCATCTAAGGAATGGGAGGGGGAGTTGAAATGGTTCGCGACTGGGAGGTGCAGTTGTTTGTTGCGAACCGAGTGTAGGTGTTCTGCAAAGCGGTCCACAAGCCTCCGCTTGGTTTCCCCGATGTAGAGGAGGCCACAACGGGAACAGCGGATGCAGTATACCACGTTAGCGGATGTGCAGGTGAACATCTGTTTGATGTGGAAAGTCTTCTTGGGGCCTGGGATGGGGGTGAGGGAGGAAGTATGGGGGCAGATGTAGCACTTCCTGCGGTTGCAGGGAAAAGTGCCGGGTGTGGTGGAGCTGGAGGGGAGTGTGGAGCGGACAAGGGAGTCACGGAGAGAGTGGTCCCTCCGGAAAGCAGATAAGGGTGGGGAGGGAAAGATGTCTTTGGTGGTGGGGTCAGATTGCAGATGGCGGAAGTTCCGGAGGATGATGTGTTATATTGGAGGTTGGTGGGGTGGTACATGAGGACAAGGGGGATTCTGTTTTGGTTGTTATTGTGGGGAGGGGATGTGAGGAATGAGTTGTGGGAAATGCGGGAGACACGGTTGAGGGCGTTCTCGACCACTGAGGGGGGGAAGTTGCGGTCCTTGAAAGACGAGGACATGTGAGATGTTCGAGAGTGGAATGCCTCATCCTGGGAGCAGATGTGGTTGAGGTGAAGAAATTGGGAATAGGGGATGGCATTTTTGCAGGAAGGTGGGTGGGAGGAGTTGTATTCTAGGTAACTATGGGAGTTGGTAGGATTGAAATGGATATCGGTTTCCAGGTGGCTGCCAGAGATGGAAACAGAGAGAGGAGATAGTAGGAACTGTAGATGCTGGAGAATCCGA